ATATATATTTAAAATAAAAAAGAATAGCTAGTATTCAGAGAAGACAGAGGTTGGATAGGTCAGCAGCTCTCAAAGCCTAGCCTGGACTGTGCATTATTGATAATAAGAAGCACATTGCCATTGTGTATGGAGAATCCAAAGCCCTGATTTCCAGAGACTTCACAATCACAAGAGAAAAAGCTGCCTGAATTCACTGCTCAAATGCTAGCCTGTCATCTTCGTGCAAGTGTTTTCGGCTTAGTCTGTCCCAGCCACACCTCCTGGGCCCACATGGTGTGATGAGCACTTGCCATGTCCCAGCCCTGGTGCAGCCTCTCCTGAGAATGGCACTGTGGCCCTCACCACAGCCTTTGAAGTAAGTGTTACTAGCCCCACAGTGACCCATAGGGGAGCCCCACTGTGGCCGTGTATAAATTCATAACCACATGTCCTCTCCCCACATGGCCTGGTGAGAACTGGGCTTTGTGAAGATCTTCTGCCCCACTAATCTTCATTTAATTCCCTCCCTGTCACCTAGTGCACCCCTGCTGACAGGCCCTCTGTAAGTCTTCATCTGAGTGACAGCCCTGGAAAATCAAGCTGTGGGCTCGAAAGGGAAGGAGGATCTGCAGATTATCTCCTCAGCGTGCGCAGTCACTCGCTGGCAGCTCTCGGGCAGCTTTTATGTTGCTTCAACAAAGAGGCTGGCTGCCAAGAGAGCACACCTTTCCCTCAGACCGCCCCAGGCTGGCAGCGGCTGCTGGGGAATGACAGGGGCAGGGCAGGCCAGCTTAGCTGGGCCATCTCCCCTGCCCTTGCCTGTGTGCAGAAGTCTGGTCCTGAAGCAGCAGAGGCTGGCTGGAGACCAGATCGTTTTGCCATAACCAGCAGGCAACTCCCATCACAAATCATCGAACCCTGGGTAGCCATTACCATCCCAACTGTTCCCTGTTTACTGGCCAGACCTTAGGCCAGAGAAAGAGAAAGAGAAAGACACTCTTTCCATTCCCTCATGCCATTTACAAAACATAATGATAGTGTCTTTTAATTCCATTTGTTTGTATGTTTGTGAGGCAGAGTTCCATGTTGCCCAGGCTGGCCTTGAACTCCCTATATAGCCAAGGATGACCTTGAACTCCTGACCCTCCCACATATGCCACCCAAGTGCTGGACTGCAGAAGTGTGCCATCATGGCTGGCTTCTCACTCCATGTCCCTGAGATGATTATAACCAGACCTTATTAGTAAGAAAATTTAAAAATGCCAAAAGATTTTCTATTTTAAAACTAAAAGCAAGAAAGGAAAGCCTTGGCTATGTCAAATGTCTGTCTCCTGGACACTCAGCTGTGAACGGGACTCCTGGCTTTTCCTGATGCCTGGTCAGGTTCCTGGAGGACAGGGTATACCTGGCCGTAGGAGGCAGGAGTGGCAGCAAGGCCTTGTCTTTGGTGGGTGTGCGGACTAGGTGCAAGGAAGTCAGTGATTTGTTTGTCCAAGGGTGCTTGAACATGTGAAACCTAAAGCAGTTTAGGAAGACATGTTAAAAACAGGTCTTTAACAGAAACATGTGTCACTAGTGCATCCTCACATTCAAGGGTCTTGTGATGCTGAGGTTTCTTCCTGGGAGCTTTGTGTTTCTAAGCTAGAGACAGCTAGATTAGAGAAGCTCTGATTCTTCCAGAGAGCTGGGGATATCTCCAGCCCTGTGGTGGGGGCTGGACACACTCCTGGAAATGTCACTTATCTTAGGGGATCAAAGCTCAGAACCACTGTTTTTACCAAGGGTGTCTATTTCTTATGCAAAAATAATATTTAAAACAGAAAAGCCAAGAGAAATAAAGACTGTAATCTTATCACTCAACGACTACTCCTGTTAATATTTTTAAGTATTTTATTTTATTATTACTTTTATTTTCTGTGTATTCATGTATTGTCTGCATGTATATAAGTGTATCCATGTCGTGCAGTGGCCATGGAGGTCAGAAGAGGGTGTGAGATTCCCCTGAAACTGGAGTTAGGGACAGTTGTTAGCCGCCTTGTAGGTGCTGGGAATTGAACTTGGGTCCTCTGCAAGAGCAGCTAGTGCTCTTAACCACTTGAGCCATCTCTCCAGCCCTCCTGTTAACATTTAAATAAAATGGTAAAAAATGTGAACAGATGTGTATGGCATACTTCCTATTAGTCTCTTATTAAAATGTGGTCTTTGGCCACATGTTCCCCTAATGTAAGCCTCTTCCTATGTCAGTATATAAACTTCTGTTTCCCTAATTTTAGTGTTACTGTGTTATTCCATTATATAGATTCATGATTTATTTTTAAGTTATGAAATATTTATCCATTAAAAATGCATGGCAGAGGGGCTGGAGAGATGGCTCAGCAGTTAAGAACACTGGTTGTTCTTTCAGAAGACCTAGGTTTGAATCCCAGTACCCACATGGCAGCTAACAACTGTCCATAACTCCAGTTCCAGGGGATCCAATGGTCTCTTCTGTCCTCTGCAGGCATTGCACAACTCGGATGCACTTTCCTACATGCAGACAATACACTCATACACATAAAATAAAAATAATAAATAAAATATTTTTTAAATGCATGGCAGAATCACTAGCATAGCTTGTTTAATCTCTGCCATCTCAGGAACTCCCCTTCCTGAAATCATGTACTACCCTCAGTGACCAGCGCTGAAATCCACTTTGCAATTCCCAGGACATGGGCACAGCCATGGTTTCATTTGACCCTCACTATCAACTACCACTCTCTGAAATTAGTGTCTCAATTTGTCCTGATTTTGAAGGTGAATTAATGTTCAAAGAGACTGAATGATTTGCCTGATACCCCAAGTCCAGTTACTGTCAAAGAGGCGGTGGTCCTGGAACTGGACAGGACTCTGTGGCAAGGCTCCAATGAGCCCACCCAGTGTTACCCTATGTGCAGGCTCTACACGACTGTTCCCTTACCCATCTGAGGCAGAGACTCTGTGTCCTGATTTTGAAGGTGAATTAATGTTCAAAGAGACTGAATGATTTGCCTGATACCCCAAGTCCAGTTACTGTCAAAGAGGCGGTGGTCCTGGAACTGGACAGGACTCTGTGGCAAGGCTCCAATGAGCCCACCCAGTGTTACCCTATGTGCAGGCTCTACACGACTGTTCCCTTACCCATCTGAGGCAGAGACTCTGCTCTCTCTCTCTCTCTCTCTCTCTCTCTCTCCCCCTCT